ACGTCTGCTGGCAGGACACAGCCACCGGCCTCCAACAGCAGGGCCCGCTCAGGCCTCGAACCCCCAAACTCGACGGAGGGCACCCCACGTCCATCACCTCCCTGCAGGGCGGCCTCAAGTCCTTCTACCAACCTAGCCCCTTGCAGAGAAGGGCTGGCAGTAACCGAGAGGAACTATCCCCTTCCTCCGTATTAATACCTCTGCCAGGCACAGGGCTGTCCTCCACATACGGGGGTCTCAGGAGGTTAAGGGAAGTGCTGCGACTACTTCTCATTTTACGGTTGAAGGAACTGAGGCCCAGACAGGGCAAGCAACTTGCAGAAGGTCACACAGCCGGCAAGCAGAGGAGTCTGAATCACAGCTCGAGAGCCATCCTCTTCCACAGCAGAGCTTTCCATTTCTGAGTTTTCCTTGGTGGCGGGAATGGGAGACTGGGGTTCACGCATGTGTTCAGGCATTCTTTTCCTTCAGCACCAACGTGAGTGATTTTCAAAATAGCAAAACAAAACCTCATCCAACGGCAGATACCGCAATGCATGTGGGGGCCCATTAGATTGCCCTGTGACTGTGCGACGGGGAACCCAGACTCCCTCCATTTCCCCCTCCACACACACACCAGGGCCAGCTTCTGCAGACCCTTCCATGCAGATTCTTGCAGGACGCCCCCCCCCCTTATCAAATGCTAATATATATGCAGATGCACCATTTTATGGGGCTTTCTAAGCCATACATAGTTGCAATATTTGATTTAAAAAAAATCAATAGGAGACGTATTGCTTTGGTGATTGGGAAGAGAATAAAGATATTAAAAATTAAATCACATTTTAAAACATCCCCCCGGTTGGATGTTTTGAAGTTGCAAAGTCCAAGTTCTATTCCAGAAAGTTCCGCACCAGCGAAGCTGGAGTGCCCCTAGAGATGCTCAGACCCCGGTGGCTGGCTGTTGTGTTTGGCCGGAGGCTGGGAGGAGGGGAGGCCTCGGATTCCCAGCAGCTCCACACCCTCCCGCGGCCCCTGGTCGATGAGCATTGTACTGTGTTTGTCGACTCAGCAAAACAGGCCCGCCTGCTCCGAGTGGAAGGTGATTGCCTACTAGCCAATTAATTCTGATTTAATTGCTCAGGCTCTAAAACGCAGGTCTGAACAGCTAATCTGGTGGAGGGTGGTTAGCCTCACAGATGCTGCCCTACCCGCTCTGGGGAGCGGCTTGGAGAGGCAGAGAAAACAAGGATTCTCTGCAGAGTCCTGGGTGTCCTACAGGGAAAGCGCCTCTGGCCATTGCGGGTGTAGCCCAGAAAGTGGGGCTGAGACCTGGCCACCAGCATCACCCAAGGAGGGCATAGAAACAGATGGATCCAGTCTGATGCGGTGGCACATGCCTGTCATCCCAGCAGCTCCAGAGGCTGAGGCAGGAGGAGGCTGAGGCTGGAGGATCGAGAGTTCAAGGCCAGCTTCAGCCACAGCGAGGTGCTAAGCAACTCAGTGAGACCCTGTCTCTAAATAAAACACAGAACAGGGCTGGGATGTGGCTCAGTGGTTGAGGGCCCCGAGTTCAATTCTTGGTATTCCCACCCTCTCCCCCGCCCCCCCCTCCAAAAAAAAAATGAAAAGAGGAAAGGGGTGGATCCTGTTGCAATCTGCAGCCTCACTGGAACAGGAGGCACTCAGCATTCTCTGATGGCCTCCTGTTTGCTTCCCTCCTGAGAGGGGCCTTCCCTACACCAGTGTCAGCTGCCCGAGGGAGAAGCTTTGCCTCATTCATGGCACAGCCACTGCCCACCTAGTGCCTGGCGTGTAGTAGGTGCTCATTAAATCGTGGTTGATTGAATGAGCACACTCTGCCTTTTCCTGTCCACCTCCTACCTGCAACTGCTAAGGGCATCAGGAGAGACCTGCCGGGGAAGAAGGGGCTCGGCTGGCTCAGGCCAGGGGCTGACTTGAACTGTGAAGCCTATGAATTGCCCACTTTCTTCTGGGACCAACAGCGTGTGTTCAACAGCTCCCGACCTGAAGACGGCTCATTACCCACCCGCTCCCCTCTCCTAGGTCTGTGCCTGGGGGCCACTGGGAACGGGCTGGTGGGGGGGTCCGCAGCTCGGCCCTGCAGGCCTGGAGAGGAAAATGATATATATCTAATCTCTGACCTTCAGATGAGGACAGGGATTAATCAAGGGCTTCAGCTGGGGGTGGGAGGGCCCGAGGGGCCTCTCCGGAGGCCGTCCTCACCCCCCATCCTTCCCAGCCACGCAGGGCTCTGGGGGTGGCAGGCCCGAGGCAGGGAGGGAGGGGGAGCAGGCTGGAGCCTGGAGCAGGGTGGGGACGGGAGCTGAGCACAGGGAAGACAAAAGATGGGGATGACAGCCCACTGGGGTGGCGAGGCGCAGGAGGAACAGCAGAGGGAAGACAAAGAGGGAGAAATAAAGGCTCAGAGGAGCCAAAGAGGCCTGCGCACAAAGCCAGGGCGAACAAAGGGTCGCAGCCAGCGGAAGACGCCGGAGCTGACAGGAGAGGAGGCCGGGGAGTCCCTCCCGAGGGCCCCCAGCCCGGACCCTCACCCCAGCCCCGTACCCACGGCTCCCAGGAGCCTCTGCGGCCGACAGCTGGGCTCCCTCCCGCCTCCCAGCGCCGCGCGCTCTGATTGGCCGGCCCGGCAGGGCAGCAAGGTGGCCACGCCCACCCATCTTGGCTCCTTGGAGGAGGCCGAAGCCCCAGAGAGTCCCGGGCTTCCTGAAGTGTTGAGAGCCACCCCAAGTCCTCCCTCCCCCTCCTTCCCGCCACCTAGAAAGCTGTCCAAGTGGAACAGCCTGCAGCTATTACAATAAACACCTCAGCCGCAACCTGCCTCTCATTTGCATATTAGCAGCCTTAATTCGGATGAAATATGCAAATGTATGCAAAATGAAATTCATCTCATAATGACACAAGGCGATTAAACAATTTTTATGCTTAAATATTCTGTTTAATGAAATCAAACAGACCTGCGCGTGTGACAAATTCTCCACAGCATGGAGAAATTAGTGTGGATATATGTCTGGGTGTGTGTGCATGGGCACGTGCGCACGCGCGTACGTGTGTGTGTGTGTGTGTGTGTGTGCGCGCGCAAAAAAATATATATATATCTGTATATAGAGACATATATAGATATGGATGCAAGAATATCAACCCACCAGCACCCTCAGAGCACAGCCTAGACCCGCTTTACCATTTTGTTGGGGAAAAAAGTGTCTTTGATAAGCAAATGAATTGAGAATGATAGGACTGAAAACTGCTAAAACAAGTTAGGAGCAATCTGCCTTTGTCTCCTGCTCTGGAGGGGACCCGCCAGCCCCGCCCTGCGCCACCACAGTGTGGCCATAAGGTAGCTGTCCTCAGGCTGGAGGGAAAGGGATCGCCTGGGCAGCAGGGCGCTGGTTCCTGCTCAACCTCGGTGCCCAGGAAATGGAGTGAGGAGGCCTCTGCGCGCCTCCCCCCAGGAGGCTGCCCGCGGTGTTCCCTGGCCCAACTTTCTTGTTTTGCTCATCTGGGCAGAACGTGTTCTTGCTCTGGCCGCGGGGAGATGGTTGGAGGGCCTTTTTGCTCAGAGCTGTGCTCTGATAGAATCCATTCTGATTTTTGCCTGGAGGAGAAGGAGGAGGAGGGAGAAGAAAGGGAGGAGGGTGAGGAAGATAAAAGCAGGAAAGTGGCAGAGAAAGGAAAAGAAGGGAGAGAAAGAAGTATAGGGGGATGGGGAATCAAAGTGGAAAGAAGGCCCGAGCACAGGCAGAGATGCACACAGAGATGAGCAGATGAGTGTAAAAAGGGGGGGGGGCACAAAATCATGGCTCACACCTTCTACATCTGCCTACATCTTCTTTCTTTCTGTACCCAGATCAGGATCATTATTGCAACCACAAGGAAGCTGAGGCCCAAAGAGGACAAGTCCCTGCCACCCTGCACAGATAGGTGGAGGCCTCACACTGAGCTTAGGGTGAGTCCCACTTGCAGTCAGAATGCTACATGAAGGTTGGAAAGAAGAACTGCTCTAGAATTCTTTAAGGGAGAGGAGCTCGTTTAAAAACTCAACCTTAGGACCTCTGCAATACTTGGGAAAAATAACTGAAGAGCTAATTTGCATAGGGGCCCTTGAGGCTGCTGGGAAAAATCCATTTTGAGATCAAATGGGCTCTGGAGGCAAGAGGTGCCCTGTCCAGGAGGTGCCCTCTCAAAGGGGCTGCATCGTGGTAAGGTCAATCTTGGGGCTGACGGGTCCTTTGCCATCTCCCAGATGCACGGTGCTTTGCAGGAGGGTGGCAGCCCCCCGGGGTCCTAGTTAGGAGCCCTGTTGTGGGTGTGACAGTGAAGTTGGCGCTGTAGAGCGTACTCAGGACTCATCCTTCTTCTCTTTCCTTCTGGGGAAAGGCTCCCCCAAAGTGGCCGGAGTGCTCCCCCCCCAGAGGCCCTGGACACCCTCCTTCCTGGAGGCAGAAGAGTCAAAGCTGAGGTGCTTATGCAGAAGGAGGGCGTGGCTTCCAAACCCCAGGTCACCCTTGACAGCTGAGCTCTGGGGGGGACAGACAATTGTGGGCGAGGGATCCCAGCTCAGAAGGGTTTGGCTGGGGGTCGTGGAGTCCTGGATTCCATCTGGGTTTGGTGACCTCCAGAAAATCACTGGAGCAGGCTGAGCCTCAGTTTGCCCCGCTGAGCAATGGGAGAGTATCTTCCCGTGGTTCCTGAGACAGCTTCCGATCCCCCTTGCTCCCCGGAGACTCACGTTGAAGGCTTGGTCCGCTTGCACCAGGGTTCAGAAGAGAGGCTTTGGGGAGGTGATTGGATCACAAAGGCTGTGAGCTCAGCAAGGAACCGACCCAGTGAGAGCCGAATGGACCTCTGGGAGGTGGTGGACAATGGAGGAAGTGGGTCCCTAGGGGCAAGCCCTTGGGGACTATTTCTTGTCCTTGTGCGTCTCTCTCTCTCTCTCTCTCTCTCTCTCTCTCTCTCTCCCCTTTCCAGCTGCCATGAGCTGAGCCACTTTCTTCCAACGCCGTCTCCTGCCACGATGTTCCTGCTCGGAGCCAGCCAACCATGAGCCAAAATTAAGTCTTTTCCCTTTAAGTTGTTTGTGTTGGGCATTTTGGTCGGAGTGACTGGAAGCTGGAGCAGTCACTGAGCTGGCTGAGTGTCAAGGGCCGGATTGAGATTGAGGCAATCAGGACCCAGATGTCATCATCATAACAACCACGGTAACAACTGTGACCACTCGGAGCGCGTCTGCCACTGCGCAGAGCCCTCTCCCAGCAGCCTGCGAGGTCTCCTGAGCACCTCTTTCCGTGTTCCAGGTCGCGGGAAGGAGGCTCCGAGGAGGTGATTGATGAGTCCAAGGTCACATAGCAAGTCGCCGGCTGTGCGGACAGGCATCAAGGTATCCTGGCTCCGGGCCAACATCTGGGGAGCCACCTTGAATCCTCAAAGCAATTTCTAGGGATTCTTAGCCATTTATCATCTCGCTCTTCTCCTGGTTCTAAGGTTGATGGATTTTGAGACAAGGGCATTTCATTAGAAAATTAAGAGAAATATTTATAATTAATATTTCAATTATAAAAGATACCATGGAGAAGCCAGCCACTTCATCATGCCGCTGGTGACAGCCCAAGCCAGAGAGGGCACCTGGCATTCCTGGAAGTGGGAGAGTGGGTGGTCCCTTCCCATTGGCAGGGGTGGGGGGGGGACCTGTGGCTGGAAAAGAAGCCCTGTTCTCTGGGGTTCTGCCTCTGGGTGCTGTTTGCTAGGTTATCGGGCACCTGCTCGTGTCTGTAGTCGGTGCTGAAATGAGGAGCTTGGTACAACCGTTGCCGTTTCAGCAGAGAGTTGAGGATCCTTGCACATTCAAATTCCTCCACCCACCGAGCACCTATTTACTCGCGTGAGGCTCTAGGGGAGCTGTGGGGTAGGCAGAGCTGCTTGTGCAAGCGCGCAGGTGCAGCAGGGGGAGACCGAGGAGATTACAACAATAAATGTAAAGGGCACAAATCTTCCCCCGTACAGGAGCAGGGGAGAAGTTCTTCATGCTCCGAGGAGGCAGCCTGGAGGACACTGGAACTAGGTCTAGCAATACAAATCGGATCTTGCCAGAAAGCAGGAAGAGCTTCCCAAGCGAGGTCGAAGCCCGGGTGTCAGCGGGGAGACCGCAAGTGGAGGGTCCAAGGCAGGATCACAGAGGGGATTGGGAAGAGCCCTGGGGGCGCGAGGTGGGCACCTGCAGTGAGGTCTGCAGGCTCCGCGCTCTTCTGCCTGGGAGTCCCACAGTACTCCTCAGACTCACTCCCAGAGTCCCACTTTCCTCAGTTTTATGGATGAGAAAGGAAAGGCCTGCTGGGAGTACCTACTTACTCGTGTGGCCCTGGGGGAGCTGTGGTGCTGGGCGCGTGTTCTGCCCCAGCGGCTGGCTCTGTGTAATCCAGGGGCTCCTTCTAACCAGGAGATCCCCATCAGAGGCAAAGACAGGAGGGGGACATTATCCCCTATTTGGCATCCAGGTGCCACCTGGCTTCCCCAGCACCAGGAACCAGTGGCACCAGCCAGAAACCTAATCCCTTCCTCCCGGAAGCCCACTCCTTGGTGGCAGTTTCTTCCACGAATCCCCAGACCACACTCTTCCTCTTTGGAGGCTCTAAGACCCTGGCGGGGGGTGGGGTGGGTAGAGGCCGGCCTCCCCGTCCTGCCTCCCCTTCTGTGCTCTTTCCTGGTTTCCAGCCAGCTGGATGTGGATGGGTGGGGGGTTGAGGGCCTTTCCTGGAACACCCTCCAGTGCACCCCATGTTCCTACGAGAGCATCCCCCCTTAAGAAGGCCCCCCCACGGGGTACAGTGGGCCAAGTCAGCACCAAAGGACAATCTTTGTTTTCTCACACACTTGGAAAGCATCAATCGTACAGAAAGAAAAAGAAAACCATAAAGCCGTCGCCAAAAACAATATCAACCGTCAGCAACTGGAGATTATTTTTCTTTCCTTCCAAAGGCCCAACTCCTGCTAGAGCAGGGCCATGGGATGTCAGCCCTGAGGCTGGACGGTGGCCCGGCCGGACAGACCTGCTCTCATCTTCTTCCACCAGCCCTGGCTCCTCTCTGAACCCCGAGTCTTCAAGGTCAAGGTCGCCATGCAACCCTAATGTTCAGGAACGAGAAGTTCCTGCCCGAGAAGGAAAGGCAAGGGGCTTGGAGGGGCTCCCTCTGTGGAGGGTCCACCCGTCGGTTACCCAGAGCCTTCGTTTTAGGTCAGCGGAAAGGCAGTGCTTCCTTTGGAACGAACCGAAAAAAAATCTAAGAAAATCCCCGACAAGCCCCAGACTCCCCGACCACCACACTGCTGCTTTTCCACGGCAGGACAAGGACAGAAACCTGATCCTGGGCTTCGCGGGGTTGCCAGCGAGAGGGCCGGACCCCAGGCCCAGCGTCCTGCCAAGAACGTGGAGTTAATGGTTTGTGCAGATCCGCGGCCTTCCAGGGGGAGGGGGACCGACCGTGCCTCTGAGCGAGTGAGGGCCCCCGCCCCCGTCCCGCGGGGACCCTGGCATTCTTTGCCGTAGCATGGGGTCCTCCCTCGGCCCTGCCCGATATCTAAGAAGCATGAGAAAGCCCGGGCTTCGCGTGATCACTTTCCCAGGCCTTCATTAACTTGGAGTCCTTGGCTGATTAGCTGGAACTCTCACGGCGTCCTTTGGAGACTCAGGGGTTTGTCAAGCGAGAAAGATCCTCAGGCTCATCCAACTCCACCCTTTTCATCCACAGTGGGGATAAGATCAGCCTGTGGAGGAGAGGGAGTCACCTCGGGACACCCTGCAAGCTAGAGGTCCTACCCTCTCCCTGGACGATGTTCACCTCAGGGCCTTTGCACCTGCTGGTCCCACTGCCAGGAAGATGGTTTCTTCAGGCTTTTGTACATGGTCTTCTGTTTTATTTAGGGTGAGTTCCACTGTTATCACTTCAGGAAAACCTTCTTTGAAAGGTCCCCATGATTCTCTCCTCGTGGTGCCTGTGCTTCTGTGTCATCCCCTCCCCTTGTACATGGATGGGACCTGTCATTTGCTTCTGATCAGCAGCTATGGAAACAAGAGTGGGATGTCACTCTTTGAATTAGTTATACTGTGTGGTTAAGGTAAAGGGACTCTGGGTGGGCCTGGCTTAATCAGGAAGAGGCCCTTAAAACAGAAGGGCCCAATCTGTTTTCTGTTGCTATAGCAAAATGTCTTCTGTTTTATGTTTTGGTCTGTTTCTGTTGCTATAGCAAAATTCTTGAAGCTGGGTACTTAGGAAGAAAAGAAGTTTTATTTAGTTCTCAGTTTTGAGACTGAAGGTTCACGATGAGGTGGTTCCATCTGTGTGGTCTCGGGGAGGAGAGTCGTGGCAGAAGCGTGTGTGAAAGGGATCCCCTGGTGAGGCAGGAAGCCAGCAATCGTGGGGGACCCAGACCTGCTCTTTATGAGGCCTGCCTCTCGGGACAGCTAACCAGGTCCACAAGAGCTGCTTTCATTCCTTCTGGGGACATGTCCCCCAAGACCCTATGGTCCCCCACAAGCATATCAACCATGTCCATCCACACACGGAGGATCAAGCTTGGAGCACGTGGCTCTTGGGGGGACACACTCCAACCACATCCAGACTGTAGTGGGGTGCAAACACCCTTTGGGCTTAATCAGGGGAGGAATTGCAGGGGGCCTCTGAGACCTCAGGATCATCTCCAGCTGTAGCTGGACCTTCACTTATGTCACCACAGGAAGTAAATCCTCCCCATAACGTCAGAGAGCTCCCTGCTCCCAAGTTCCCCAGCCGAGCCTTCGGGTGAGGCCGCGCCCCACCAACCCTTTGGTGAGGTCTCTCGAGACTCCGAGCAGCTCTGCCTGCTCAGGCCAAGCGGGTCTTTCCGCCCCCAGGAAGCGCTTCACAGCAAACTGCGTTGGTTTTAGCTGCAAAATGCACAGTGCTTGCCAGGCCGCTGTCCGTGACTAAGGGACCCGATGCCACTGGGAACCCTTCCCTCCTCTGCGACGCTGACTTTATCCCCATCAAGGCACTCGCCCCTCTGGAAGGGTCTTTCCTGAGCAGGACTCCACGTGCTCACTCTGCGTCTCCCCAGGGGTCGCAGCTTCACGAAGGCGAGGTGTCCATCCTGTATGCCTACAAACAGCAGGTGCCCAATAAGTGCTTTGCAGGGAATAAGCGAATGGATAAATGACGGCATAAAACACGATCCTGAAACAAGAAGGGAAAAGAGGCACACATTCAGCTGAAGACAAAGACCTGCCCAGCAAAACCCCCACAGAACAGCCACAACCACGCAAGCACCAGCTGAGGGAGACCCCTGAAGTGCCAGTCACCAAAGGTCGGGTACTTGTACTCCATGACACGGTGGCACAGACTGAGTTCACAGAGCCAGCCAGAGGATGCTCAGCCACACCGTTAGAACCCGTCTAGGAGGCCTGGTCCGCCCGCTATCTCTGCAAAGATCCACCGTCAAGGACACCATGTCGGCGAGGGTGTCCCCTTTCCCCGCCTCCTAGGGACCGCTCCTGCCTGAGTCCCCACCCTCCCACCCTGGTCCTTTGACGGTCCCTTCTTCCTGCCCGGAAGATCTGAACCAGACCGAGCCTGACTCCTCAACAGCCGAAAGACAGGAGTAAACCAGGGGGTCAGAGTGGACCCCAGGGTCACTGTCCAATGTGGTCAGGACTTACCTGTCCTCAGGATTGCCGAGGAAGGGCTGTTGGCCGATGAAGGGGAGATGATATTTTCTGCTGAAGGAGGCAAATGACTCCTCAAGGGGTGGGGACCATGCCCCTCGGCGCTGGGGAGTGCAGGGGAGCCTGGACGGGCTCTTGCGGTGGCTCTGTCAGTAACCAACAGCGCCCAGGAAGGCCGGGCGCTTGCCCTCTCTGATCCTCAGCTGTTCGTGAGAGGGGGCCGTGGAGGGACTGGGGAATGAGATTCAGCACTGTGGGTTGTCCTGTGTGCAGTACGAGGGTACAACCAGCCCCACCGTCACGTGAGATTATAGGGTGTCCATAAAAATATATCAATAAGAAAAAAAAAAAAAAAGAAGAAGCAGCAGCAGGACTCTCTGAGGCCCGTTCTGAGGTTCCCTAAGGTGGTTCAGAGTTCTCTGGATCTCAGACAGCGGTTGACAGCCCTGTCGTGACCGGGGGAATGGGGACGGTCTCTGGGAAGAAGGGAGGGGCTGAAGCCTTTGGGGTCCCCTGTGCTGCAGGGAAGGGGCAGCGGGGAACACCCGGGGAAGGAGGCCACTCTGCGGCTCCGGCTGCAGCCTGGACACGACCCCTGCAGGACGGGGCTGGCCACCAGCCACCCAATTGCTGGGAAGAAACGCGATGCGCGCCGGGCGCACACGTGTGCAGCCAGGTGTCCCTGAGGCCCCTCCCTCCACGCCACTACCCGACACGCCTCCTGGCAGGACCCCTGAGCCCGCCCTGGCTCCCCCTCAGTGTGTGCACTCAATACCTCAAGCAAAGCGCTGATCACATCAGATCACATAATTGCAGACCACGTCCCCTGCTCCCATCTCACCCAGAGCAAAAGTCAGAGCCTCTGTAAGAACCCACAAGGCCCCGCCCACCACTGCCCTGCCCCCAGCTCCTCCTTCTCCTCCCCCGTGTCCGCCCTAGAATGCACCCCAGGACCTTTGCACCGGCTGCGGCTCTGTCAGGACTGTCCTGACTCCCAGAGGATCCCATGCCTCTCTCCCTCCCTGCCTTCAGCTCTTTTCACTGAGGCCTTTCCTGGCCACCCCATCTAGACTCCAACACCCCTGTTTCCTCTGCCTCTTCCTCCCCAGGGTGGGCCTCACGAGGCTCCCGTGTCCTGGTTTACCGTCGGACCTGGGCCTTCCTGTCCCACTTGCTAGTGAAGGCCAGGGAGCCTTCCGTCAACCGCGGGTTCCCTGCGTCCCTGCCTGTTCCCCCCCACCTGTGCCTGGGCCACCTGGAGTCCCTTCAGTCCTCGGGCAGCACAAAGGTGCCTGTGTGGACTCCAGGGTCCTCGTCCTCCACGCGGGGACATGGAGGCGGGGAGGCCAGGAATGGTGCGATGCCGCGTGCCACAGGCGGGTGGGGACCCCAGCCCCAGTCACTCCTGCTCCTGCCGCCCCGCAGGCCATGAGCGCCACCTCTGGCCTGACCCTGAGCATATTTATCTGGGGTGGGGGTCCCAGCACAGGGTGCCCCCAGAACACCAGGCCTGACAGGAGCTTCGGATCCCAGCAGCAGCAGCAGCGGACGGAGGCTGTCTTCCCCGGGCAACCCCACAGTCCTGTTCTTTTCCAGAAAGGCCATTTGAGAAACGAGTCACTAAATTCGATGTCAGTTTTATACCCATGTAAGATGTTGCCCATAAAGAAATTCACAAATCAGGGCAATAGCCCTGGTCCTCATTTTTGCATTGTAAAATGTGGTCTGCACGAGCGGATCTCCTTCCCTCGATGGCTATTATCAGTTTTCACAGCAAGCAGGCTGTCCCCGGGCCCAGGGAGCTGAGGGCTTATGGAATCCGTGGAAGATTTACTGTGTGTCTTCTCCCCGCCCCGGGGTAATGGGATTCACCTGTCTCGATCCTCATAAGTACAATTGTAAAGTCGCTCAACAAACCTTCAAGTGCAGGTTCTGAACCAGGCACTGGGCGAGACACCAGCCAATGTCCTGATTGTTCTCCGATTTTAGGCACTGAAAT